AGCTTGAGTCCTTCAAAGCTCTGGGAGAAATTGAGAAATTGGTTACGCGATTCAACTACTGGTGAACGAAGGGAGGAAAGAGAGAATGGTGATTTTAAATAAGTCTTTACTCTGAAGCAGAAACGTAACACTTCATGAACAAAGTGTGAAGGAGCTGCAAGATTATTCTACTATGTGCCAAAGCTGTCATTATTATTATATCCACAAGCAGGTGGGGGGCGAGTAGGGAAGGGGGTATAAGCTGGGGTTCGTGAGTGTGTGTTTGGGTGGAGGAGGTCGCTATTATTGGATCTGGCCTCACCAGGTGAGCTGAGGAGCCGACACCCCCCACCCCGCTCTTCTGGCTCTCCTACCCTGCCTGCCGCTGCCAAGGTGACCTTCCAGAGAGCTGGAGAGAGACCGAGAGACAGAGAGAGAGAGGAAGGTGCTGACAGAAACATCTCTGGTTATGAAACAGCCGCGGTTTGCCTCTCTCCTTTGGAAAGGTGCGCTGCCAGCGGTGTCTCTCTCCCCGCAGCAGGAGCAGCTAGCAGGGAGAACACCGAGCCCAAAAACATGTTATCCCAAGCACCGGGTGTCTCTGCTCATAAACTGGAGAGTGGAGAAGTACCCCACGCCTGCTCAGAATGAGCTGTGCGTAATATCTCCACAAACCAGTAGCCAAGGTGTTTACCTGTTACCCGGGTGTATCTCTCTGAGCCAGTATATCTGGCACGTAGTAGTACGCATGTCTCCAATCCCTGGCCCCTCATATTCACACTCATACCTGCTGACAACCCCCCCCACCCCTTGTGCGCCGTGACGCGCTGCGCGTTCACTGCAGGATTGCGGAACGTCAACCAGCAGCCGCAGCCGTAGACTCTGTGTGTTACAGAATAGTTTTAATACTGCAAAGAAGTAAGACGTAGTAAAGCAATATTTAAGTCCATACTATTTGAGTCCTTTGAGCCCAATTTCCTCCAAATAACGTAATTTAATTTAACTTTTGCATAATCAGGAGTATGTTTTACATATTTAAGAAAGATCAACTATTCATTTTAATGAAAAATGTTTTTTTTTTCAATTGTTTTGTATTTCCTTCATGTAGCATTTCTTTCTGAGCATGTTCTTCCCTTTCAGGCTAAAACCTTTTAAATTTGATCAGAGTAGTCAAAGAACAAATCTGGCTCACAGGGTTTATTTTAAAGATGAATATGCGTTTTTATTTTTCAAAATACTAACACTGAATTTGTCCGTTTATTCTAGGTGAGGCCATCCTGCCCTATATACAAATACTTGTGGCGGGGGTGCTTGCAGTTACTCGCGTCACAGTAATTACGTCGGTATTCCTTATGGTCGTTTGGAAAGGGAGAGTATCGCATTTTGTTTGACGCGGGGGCCTCAGTCAGGCTCTGAAACTGGATCTCATGACTTCATCCCCCCAACACCGGCCTCTGCCAACAGCATTGTCTGGCCCTGACGCTCCATATCTCAGAACTCAAAATATTATTATCCCAAAAGTCCCCGCTTCTGTCTACTTCTGAATCAATAGGCCTGTATATCGTTTGAAATATTATGTTGTTTCTTTCTCTTCATTTACATTAGGTCAATTTGAACGCTTTAACCATGAGGGTATATTGTTAAATACGTTTAACCATCACAAGTTACATGACCACTACAAAAGCCTATAGCTGTGTGCTTTAATTCAGAGTCTCGTTTTTCAGACTTAATGGAACTAATAACATAACACTTAATCACGTTACTTTCACTCTCCTCTCTCTCCCCTTTGCATTTCTAATTTCTTATCTGCAGTGGCTTGGGGTTAAACAAATGAAACGAGCAGCTCCCCTCCTCCTCCTCCTCATCTTCCTCTCCTCTCTGTGAAACCTCAGAGGAGAGCAGACCAAACGTTACTTAGCCTGAACGCAGATAGGCTGCAGATAATGAGAGCCTGGTTGCATTAAATGGACAAACAGCAATCCGACATCTCCTGACCCCTCGATGCTCCTCTCGGCTCCATTGATCATCCCCCCTTATGAGATAATGCAATTACAAACATCAATAAGGAGCTGCGAGGGGAATCATTATGTGGTGACAGTGATAAATGATGCTGCAGAAAATAGCGGGCTCCTCTCAAACAATCCCTGCGCCCAAGGGGCTTTTGAGGGCCGGGGCCCCGTCGCCAAGGAGACAGATGACATCCAAAATGGCCCCCGCTCAACAGTCCTCCACTCTTCTCTTTCTCTCTCTCTCTTTCTCCCCACCAACCGATTTTTGTTTTTCTCTCCCTCCTTTTTTTTTTTTTTTGCTCCTTCTTTTGTTTCGAAAGCAGCTGCCGCACGACCTTTGAAGGTGGAGTTTTTTGGGGGGTGGTTGGAAAGTTTTTCCTGCGAGGCGTTTGGGGGCTACTGTTCAATTTATGTTTGTGTCTGTATTGATTTCATAAAGTAGCTCAGATATTGACATATCATCTCAGCCATATGTGTATTTCCTGTAATGATTTTTCGCTTTTGAAACTGCCAAATTGATTGGTTGAGTATTGTATGCTCATCTCATATCTTTAGATCTTCTCAAATTGGACCTTGCAGTTATGAAGCCAGAAGGTAATATACTTCGGTTTACTTAATCTTCATAATCTGCACATTTTATGACGAACATTTAACTCCTGGCTCTCTGGAGGAGAATAAAGGGGAACATCCAGCGCTTCGATTTGTCTTATTCATATGAAATGAAGGCCTTACGTGCCACCTTGATTTGATTTAATTTGTTAAAACCTTATTAAATCATCTGCTAAAACCTCAAATGTTGCAGCTGTTGTAAATACCAAATCATTCTATTTGGAAATAAAATATCAGCATGAATAACTGTCTAGAAAAGACACATATTTGACGCAAATACTATGCGACGTTTCAATGGCCAAACATTTTGAATGAAATAAAGATAAAATCGCATTCAACTAGTATTTCCACTCAACACACATTGAGAGGAACAGTTAAACTATCTTGCCCTGGCGTTCAGCAACCAGTGACAAACCTGGGAGTTTAATTAATAAGCCTACACACATTATTGCCGCCGAGATTTGTCATGACTTGTGGCACAGAACATGAGGCGCACGGTTACTAGTCCAAGTTCCCTGTTTCAACCATGAAGGCACATAAATATCTGCGTTGTTGTGGAAGGAAGACAGGCCTGTCCGGGCACCTCCACTGCTCTGGAACACATTTCTGCTCCATTCATTACTCTGACAGTTCACTCCGCGGTCAGTGTGTATGTGTGTGTAAGACAGAGAGGCGTGTGTAGGCCTACCATCATCATTAACTTCGAATTACGTTTTGACTTGCAACTCGTGAAATTAGCACAAGTCAAACTTCATATAGCTTTGTGCATAAAACCTATTTTAAACTGCAGAAGGCACAAACGGTCAAAAGGCAACTTACATCCACATCTCAGCAGTAATATAGGTCAGCTGTGTCAAAACATTTCCCTAAACATTCAAAATCACAATCATGTAAACGTTTTTACATCTGATAAAATAGAAGACAAGTTACACTATAGTGTTCATAGTGAAAAACCTTCTTTATATATGAATACACTTAAATAATCAATTATTATTTAAACCACGAATTGTGTCTAAAAGAATATGTTTCGTTAAAAAAAAATGTAATTGGGAGCAGACAATTCAAATCAATATTATTATTGTTTATTATTTCAAGAATTTAATTAAATCAAATATCTTTCTCATGTCTGGTAGACTGAAGTGACTTGTGTCTTGTTTTAAGATATTGGCACTTGTTTAAACTACAATTCCATGACATCAAAAGAAATGAAAACAACATTTGTTTCACATGACTGCCACATCTTTTGGAAAGTATTTAAAGAATTTTTTTCATATTAAAGATAAGACCAAAGGAGATATAAAAAACATATGTCTTTTTTGCATTTTTTTGCAGTCGCTTTAGATCTCGTCTGAGCTGTTCCAATCTTTATCAAACTTCCAAACGCGTTTTTGTGCGGTTTACGTCCATGCGTAAATTGAGAGTTGGTGCTGTGCGCCATCCCCAAACGTCCCTGTCCCGGACAGTTACCAGGCCTCCCTAAAGAGGGCAGTCAAGCATGGGCTTTCTCGCCTGTCTCCACAGCTCACGGCGGCCACAGGCTCAGGAATTCACATTTCACAGCCTCGGATTTTCCAGCCATGGTGTAGAGGCGAAGCAATTAAAACGTCGCCTGGGTTTTTTAAGATCGTGTCTTTTTTTCCTTCTTCGTCTTTAGTGTAAATAGCCTTCACTTCGGCAAAGGCAGTAAAAACACAATAGTTGCGCGGAGGAGAGATAGAGAGGGAGAAGGGGAGAGTATTGATTTACACACGCATATTGTTATGGATAAAACAGACTCTCTCTTGTTCGCTGGTTTGAAAAAACAAGACACTGACTTTGGGATTCAGGGCTGCTCTCCGAAATGTATCAATTAGACAATACTCGCTCGGCTCTTCTTCTCAGTCGGATCAGCCTCTGCCTCCTGAAGTGCAGTGTATCCCGGAGACAACGTCGGCTGCAGAGCGCTGCGCTTCAAGCGGAGCCCTTTGACTGCGGGCAACAAGGCGTGAGGGAGAACTAATCTTCCCATTTACATGTTTGTAGCAATTTTACTTAAATGAATTTTAATGCTAAATGAAGGATAATTCGCTTTCTTGCCGAGCCCCTCTTTCTTCGCCTCCCCTGTCAATGTGTGAGAAAATTACAGCATAACGCATGCATTAGCTGCACATTATCCACAGCAATGGGAGGAAGGTTTACTTAAGTGCATGTTTCTTTAAGAATAAATAGACCTCTGCTTTTTTAAATGGGCATTTCTCGACATGAAAAAAACGTTTGTGCCTAATTTAACTTACTATTTTACTTACTTCCTACATTACTTGCAGCGTCATTTGCTTTGTGTTAAAATAATTTAACAGCTAGTGATATGTATGTTTTTATATTTCATATCTGCATGTAGGAAGATAATGTGAGACTAGTTATGAGTTCTGTCATTTGAACAAAAAGTATTTATTTACAACACAGATGTACATATATACCCTTCAAAGTAAAAGCATAAGAAACATGACTTGTCTTCAAAGGAATCTTAAAGATGTGCGTAATACATGTTTGAAGCAATGGATAATGGATGCATTGATAACCCACACAAGCATGTATGCACGCACACACACGTTCCCCCTCACATGCATACTGCCACACACACAGTGGCTTTTACATTCTCTCCTGTCTGTTGATCAGCGTTACATCATCTGGTTAAATCAAAATGAATGGACTGTGGTCTAAATGGTGTTTTCCCATAGTCTCTGCCTCTCCCTGTTATCAGGCATGAAACACTGCAGGGGACGAAAATCCATTGGCCATGCGAGTGCTCGGCCTTGTGACATAAAACACATCAATAGGACACTGGAATAGACTTTCAGAGGCCCTCAATCACAGACACACATGGAGAAAAACAGGAAACAACATGTTTGTGGGACACACACTTGTAGTTTCCCATCCACAGTGATTTTTTTAGATTGTTTGTGAGCATTACCTGAAGCTCTGTATGATGTTTGTTAGCCTGTCATGATGTTATCCATGTTGACACCTACAATATGTGTCTGTCCTCATGTAAACAGAGTATAGAATGGAATAAAATGAAAAATTGGACAATGGCAGCTGGATTAAAAACCTTGTACATCCAAAATGTTAGCTTCTCAGAAACTGCATTTAGATTGATGTCATTGTGTTTGGAGGTAATCGAATGAATTATAAGAGAGTTTCATGACCCCAGTAAAAACATTCCACCAGTAGAGGAACATATAATCAAATGATATGAAAATGTCTTTCAAAAATGACCAAAATTGGAGTTACAAGGTGTAAACACAGCAACAGTAAAACAAGTTAGTTGCACCCTGCATGTACGTGGATGGTCTGTGTGTAAAATAAAAAACGCATCTGAATCGCCATCACACTCTTTCTTACCATCCAAATAAAAGCCTGTGAGAAATGAGAGACTGATCGAATTATCTGTTTATTCACTTTTTTGTCTTTTAAAAATGCATTGTGATTCAATGGAGGGAGGGGGCAAGGAGGTCAAATTTGATGGAGAGATGGCACACACATAGTGTGGAAAGAAATCAGGGGAAAAAAGAGAAAAAAGTTCACATCCTTTTTTAAAAAATCTATTAGAAACAACATAATATGCAGAACAATACAATAGCATTTACAATACTTAAATTCCCAGTTCTTGTGAGAGTCCAGCGTAATTTTACAACAGTATACAGTATATTTTCTTTCTCCACTCACTTCCCAAACTAGGGGTTGATATAGTTATACTTTTAATTTCTTTTCTCTTGCTTTCCCTCCTTTCATGTTTCAATCCACTAAATTTTTTTAAAGGGCACCTCCTTTGCTTTGTTAGTGTCCTGTCAGATACAGACATTGGCTTCTCCGTGGTCCAATTCCATCGTCCCAAAGAGTGTAGTGCTCTTCACAGGAAGTCTCTTTTTTTGCCAAAGAGTCTAGAATATATCACCAGGTGCTGCATTCGCCGAAGGTACAGGCAAAGGACACCGTGTGTCTCTTGTGTGTCATCTATGCTCGCAATCGCAATCACTTTTAATGGAGGAATCCATGTGAACCTAGTGGGCAGTGGCAAGGGGGGCAAAGTCTAGTGCCCACCAGAGAAGAAGCAGGGGTCGCTGGATACATAGACAAGTATTGTAGGCAGTCACAGAAGGCTTCCATGTTGCAGATATCAGCCAGATAAAAAGTTGTTGGGTCTCGGAGGTGGACAGGGGTTGCTGTTGGTTGTTGTCATCAGGAAGTCAAGGAGTCTAGTTCCCATGCTCCCTAGGCCTCTGTGAGACAGGTGATCCCCTGGTTTGCCCTGCAGTTCTGAGGAAAGAGAAGATAAAATTAATCAATGATTGGTTTTGCACAGGTAATTGAGAGATTCTGAATTTCTTTACCTCTGTGAATGTCTGATCAGAGAAAGGATTCACTTTAAAGTTTTCAGTCAGAGAGTACCACTGTTGTTACGTGAATGTCTTTCCCTTCAATCCAGGAATAGAGACATTCCTCTATGAGTTGAAACCCATTCAAAGTCAGCTGATCAGTGCTGATGTTGTAGAGGTTTCAACTAGTGGCAGTGATATGTACATTTTGACAACATATTAAGTTGTACAAATTAAAAACATCTATGTCCGTGCAAAGTCATAAGTCATCAAACATTATTAAGCTCTGAGCAAGTTGGAATATTGTCTCCAGCACTGAGACAGAAAGCATTTAACTACAAAAGAAAACTGTTGAATGAGTTAGATGTCATTAATCATTCATCAACTACAACAATAGATCACACTAGACTTCAGAAAGAAGACTCTCATGTTACATTTGCACTCGAACATAGTAGGACCTGCAGATAAGACCCTGGAGGAGCAGTATAGTATGTGACAACTGCTACAAACCCAACATGGTGCTAATCTGGGTCAGAATACAGACACAAGACTGCCCTTCACTAAGACTGTGTGGATGTGGGAGAGAGAGAGAGAGAGAGAGAGAGCATTGGAGGGTTTACTGAGTTAATCCTACACCCTCAGTAATGCTACTTTAACAGTAGGACAGGACTTAAAGACCAAACACACACATGATCGACTTGAAGTGATAACCAAGGTGCAGTACTTAACATTTCCTGGATAATCTGTTTAACTGAACTACAAGGAAACTTAAAATTAGCCTTTTGATTTATATTTTGATTGGTAACAGTCAGCAAGTAAAACTATTTCAGGTTAGTAATAAAGTGGCATACAATTCAGTCTTGTTTTAAAGTGTAATATGCATGAATAAGGCTTGAATCACAACATCTAAAAGTATTTCAGCTGCTTTATTTATGTTACATATCAACCACAACCCCTGAAGCTGATGCAACCTGCTGCTACTCCTAGCACAATGAAAAATGAAGTAAATAAAATTCATGCTCGCCCTCTTCTCCCCCTACATTCTTCTCTTTGAAGCCAACAACAGCCGCCATCCATCTCTGCAGGTGGAAAGCCACCGCTGAGGAACCACGGCCATTGTTGTCAAAACCAAAAGGGAGAGGTGAGGCTTGCGGCCGCCCGTCACCTGAGAGCGCCAGGGGCCCTTCCACACGTTTGCCACGCACACAAGAGGGCCACTACAGATGACACAAAGGAAGGCAGGGAAAAGGACAATGAGGTGCTGTGGGAGGAGGACAACAGAGGAGTGGCCCTCATTTGTTATTCCCCTCATCTGTCAGTTTTCACCTGGGCTACTAGAGATGATAGGTGCAACTTGCATAAGAGACGGGTGAGCTACTGGCTTCAAACGTGTGACCTTTCTATTGTGAGACATAACCTGTGGCACTACAAGCTGAGTCATTAGCGATGCTATCTTAAATGCAATGCAAACCATGTTCATGCTTAAAGCAATCAGCCATTTAATTTCTATACAATTAAATTAAATCTGTTTTGCAAATTTCTGACAATTGTATGTTGTGTAGTGTGTTTCTGTAGTAAAAGTGTTACATACAGGAACAAAACATCAGCAGAAAACCCAAGGAGAAGTCACTGTCTCAACTACAAATACCCCAAAATAAAAACAAAACAATCAAGAATCTCTTGGATTACTACTTTAAGTTGTTAGTGCCTCTTTCATATGAGAGCTTCCAGAAATAAATCTATGTAGGTTTCTAATAAACGCTATGCATGGAGAAAAAAGCACACATTGCTAATAAGGTTTTTCAGTTAATAAGCCAATCAATACATTGGACTGTAGGCCTCCTTTCTTAGACTCCAAGGAGTATTCCAGAGGGGCCAAATCAACAGGGACACACATTCACAAGGACAATACGAGGGGGCACAAAATCCCCAGTGGGACCTGTTTTTTCCAATGTCCGTTAATAGTAAAAGTTCATCCACCAGAAAGAGAAGTTGAGGGTGGGGGGTGATGGTGGGAGGATGCATGGTAGTGGGGAGTGAGGGGAGGGATCTTGACCCCTCAAGCAGAAGGTTAACAAATTTGCGCTTAATGATTGGAGCAGTGAATCCTGGGACAAAGGGTCTCCAGCCGAGAATGGCAGCAAAGGGGTTACAGGCAGCGTTCACTCAAGCGTTCTACCCGACATTTTGGGAAAAGCTGACAGCAGGGAGGGCCAGAAAAAATTCCATACGCTCTGCGCCATAATTAATTCTTCCACCCTGTGATAACTATTGTCCTGAAACTGAAAATTACAGTTTTCAAGGGCCACCCCTGGCTAATTTTGTGGAAGGGAGGGAAATCAGGGGAAAGGAAGAAGGGAAAGGGGTAAGGGTCATCCGAGAGTCATTCTCGTCGCTATCAAAGGCTCAGCTCGCTTCTGCTTCACTTGCTGGGTTTCATCTCTGCTGACAGGTGTATTGTTTCGCAAGGGGATATAAGCTCTGTAATCATCATTGGGTGGAAAGCATAACGCTTTTCACTAAGCAGGACTAATTGGCTTTAGTTTTAACTAATGTTGCAGTGTGACTGCTAGGCACACCTTCTGTATCAAGCCTCAGCAGTCCTCAGCACAATAACCGCTCAATTTAGCCCCGCGGTAACAAAACCTCAACTCTGCTAATGAAAATTGCTTATAAAATATAATGAACCTGTGCTCTCTTAATCAAATAAGATAACCATTTCCCCTCCTACTGTAATAACCTATTAATTTAATTGGTCATGAAAGAATATAACACATCACTTACATTTAATTGACCTAGAAAGGAAAGTAGCATAGTATATTTGACGGAGACAAGCTAGTAGCAAGCAAAGGCTAGCTAATGAAGCTGTAAAGAAACGACTAGTCGTGAGGAAGAGTAGACATATTTCTGTCACAATTTTTCTCCCAGCTTCTATCTTCTTCTCTCCCTCCTCCTCCTTCCTTCCTTCCTTCTTTTACTTCCACCACCCCTCCCTCTTGTCGTTTACGCTTTTCTCGCTCGCCATCTCTTCATCCGCCCCTCCCTCTTTCTGTCTACCCATCTCTCTCTCTCTCGTCTTTTTTCTTACGCTGTCTACTCGTCTTCTCTGTGCTTTTCCCATCTCACAGAGGATTCCTCTGGTGGCCCAATTACGAGATTCAGCAGGCAAATTGAGGCTGTTTAAAGCAAGGTCTGCTGGGAAGGCTAGCAGCTGCTGGAAAGAGGCAGCTTGGACACGGCAAACCAGCCCTCATGTTTACACACTCACACACATAAACACAGACACAGACACACACACACATCGTCTCGTTCTGAAAAGCACAGTCTTTCTATTACCATGTCTCCCTGCATTTTAAACCTGAAAGATGCCATTCGATGTGAGATTTTTGGTCGTGGACATTTGTGACAGAAACAAGGGCGGCATATTTTCATCGTGGCACGCACACGCACGCACATTCTGTGGAGGGTTAATGGTCTCTATTTTTGTAAACTGAATAAGTCAAATCCATTGGTCACACCTCTGGTGATGGCATATTTAATTTGGATCTAGTCAATTAGGCCCAGCTAAGCTCCATACCCTGCTGGCTACCTCCTCCATTTTGCACTAGTTTGTGTCCCCTCCCTGTGCCAGGAGTAATCCTATTACCATACACACACATGCACATACATACACACACATGAGCAGTGATAAAGAAATGCACGTTTGTACGCGTGCACACACCCACACATGGGCAAATGCATGTATTTCACATATGAGTGTATATGGTATAGATGCACCCACACAGGTATACACACATATGGTGAACACAGACACACATTAATTCACACACACATATTAAACAATGATGTTTCACAACGGTTGGACTCGTAGCCACTTTATATACACTGTGCACTGTGACAACACCAAGCCTGTATACATCCAGAATTATGTGGGAGTCTATTTGGCCCTGGGGCAAGAGAGAAGAAGGGAGGGGGAGAGGAGGTGAGAGGAAGAGAGAGAGGCAGAAAATTAAAGAGAAACAGAAAAAAGGTGTTTGTGCGAAAGATAGAGGAAAATTGAGAGTAAGAAAAACCACAAAGATGGGTTGAGACAGAGCGAGCATTAGAGAAATGGGGGGGGGGGGGGGCTCCTATAGCTGGTTATTGTGTGTATTAATGTGGCTCACGCATCAACAGCAACCCGGCAGATTTATGACACTTAAGGGGCGCTCACTTCCCTCTCTCTCCCTCTCCTTGCACCAGTGACGACTGCTTACATTTTTGCCAATCAGTCTGTTGCCATAGCAACGTCCTACCTGCCCCCCCCCATCCCACACCATCGCACCACCCACCCCCTGTCCCGACCCATCCCCGCCTTCTCTCCTTCTGATCACCCCTCTCCTCCTCGCTCCTCTCTTTGCCCCATTCGCCTTCTTTCTCCTATCCGTTTGCCACACACACACGCTCACATGCATGCGCGCGCACACACACACACACACACACACACCAAGAATGGCTGTTAATTCGAAATATGTGTACCACATCAGTACACAAAATGTTGATGAGGACAAATGATTTTCATTAATTTTTGAAGATTTCCAAGTATGCAAACATTCAAAACATATTTTTAACATTGATTATCATCAATAATTGCTACTTATAGGAGTATGTTTAGACATACACATGTTCAGACAGTCTGTTTTTCTCTCTCCCCTCTGCCTTTCTTCCTCTCTTTCTCTTTTCTTTATCCTGAAAACCTTCTCTTCTTTCCTCTCCTCCCTGATATGAAGGATGTTTGGTCCTGTAGCTATTGGATATGTGAGAGAGCGAAACAGCTACACACATGCGCACACACGCACATTATACACACAAAGAGCTACAAGGTTGTGATCAAAGGCTCTTATCACCAGACCGAGGGTGGGACAGTTAGAGAGAGAGTAACAGAAAAAAAATCTGCCTGGGAAGAACAAGAACGTGTTTTTAACAAAAAACTGGAAAAAAGTACGAAATTAATTATTCCCATATATATCAGTTTGGAGGATAGCTATTTTCAAAACAAGGTCTTGTGCTATTTAAAACTCCCATAACTTTTAACCAATGAAACACTTCAAATTGCGGGCTAAAAGCAGACTCACACCTCCTGATCTGCAGTAAATGTATACATGAATGATGTCATGTATATCTGAGTTTGAGACCACCATTTAAAATGTTGTGGATACGTCAGTGTGTGTCAAAGTCTACTTACATCCCCCTTTGTGTTGCGATTGGTCGGATTGGGGTGGGGCTACATGTAGTGCCACTGACCTTCCATGCCCATGTTCATGCCCATTCCACCCATTGGTCCTGGGAAACACAGAAGGAGTTAATTTAAATGCAAACACATGGTAAAAAGGTAATATTTCTATGCATATTTCTAACTAAAGTTATTTAAGTTGCAGTTTATTTGAAGTTATTACAACCAAGTGTAACCAAGAAAAAGAACAACTGAATGGGAAACCACTGAGGTAAATACCAGAGGTGGTTCTTCTGTGAAACTAACTTGACAGACAACATTGCAGAGGAGAGTACTGGCTTAAAGCTGGCAGGGCGAGGTGTGTTGAAGGGGGGGTGGGGGGTTAAGTAGCCTGGCAGTTTATCCAATCCTGCTGACTTTGAGTGGAGGGTGAGATAGGGTTAGAGACTTGAGAGAATCCCAGAAAACAGGGGATAGAGGAGGAGGAGAGGAGCTTAAGGACAAACTCTGGGATTAGACCTGATGGCGTGAGAGAGAGGGACTGAGAGCGAGGGAGTAGGAGTGAGGAAGGAGATGATTGTGTAATGTGATTGACCACACCTGTTCTGGTTTGTGTGTCGAGGAAGGGGGAGGTAACTGTGTGTGTGTGTGTGTGTGTGTGTGTGTGTGTGTGTGTGTGTGTGTGTGTGTGTGTGTGTGTGTGTGTACAGTATGTGTGTCTTTATCACTGTGTTTGAGGGTGCACATACTGCCCAGTTTACACTTAAACTACCACACAGCGGCCATATAGCTTCCAATAAGTGCTTGTGTGAAAGCAAAAACGAGGAGCGTGTTGGTAGAGTAAACCACCAACATCGCAGATACTGTATGACGCACACTGACACCTAGAGATACCTTTAGAAGCTGAGAAAGGAGCACAAAATGGGTAAGAAAGAGGAAGACTGATGGCAAAACTCAAGAAGGAGGGAACAAAGGAGGGCAAATGCATGAAAATGAGCTAAAGACAGCAAGGAAAGAAAGGAGAAAGATAGGAAGCGCGAGGGAGGAAAGAAAGGCACAGACACGCAGAGAAAGCCTTACCAGGTGGTCTGATTCCCATGTGCTGCTGGCCGTCCATGACGAAGCCCCCCATCGGCTGGCCATCTGGATTATAGGGAGCTCCTTGACTTACTGTGGATGGAGGAGTAGACAAAAGGAGGGAGGGATTGGAGGGAGGGGACAGAGTGGTCAATTAGTGCTTTTAATTAAGGCTCAGTGGCCGAAGCGGGATCATCTGTTGGCCGGTGCACGCACAGGGAGCTGCCGTTGTCTTTCAACGTCATTCTGCTCCGTGTCTGTCGAGCCGGTTATCTACTGTAAGCCCCCGGTAGACTTTAATGCATCTAAGTGCTCTAATAGGGATCGGACTGACAGCGTTCAACACATACTATGGTACACTTAAGACAATGAAGGACTTACATTTTTAAAATGAGATTTGAGCCATATGGAAGAGACCGTTTTTTACAGAATGGAGTCCTTGTGTGCATAAGAGTTTTCATTTTACTCAACATTCACCGTTTTCTCTTTCAAAGTGGCTTTAAGGTTGTTAAAATCATCTTATTTAACTATCTGACAGGGTTTTATATGTTGTGTATCCCCTTGTTTTAGATCTTCATCAAAGTTATTTGAGTGATATATTCAAACCAGACACTCACACTTTTTATGGTAACACCATTCACTCAAATGTCTTGTGCATCATTTCACACATTGCCCAAAAATTGGCATATTTGGTATTTTGAAAAACTCACTGGGATCACCACTAGAATTTAACATAAAGTTCTGTGGATTTGAACAACATCTAGCTGCACAGCAAGACAGGCACAACAACTGGTGAGGTTTAAGAGGTGAAACATTTATAAGCATTTTTTTTCCTCACCCAAAGAAGCCCCTATCAATGTATGAGCATACACATGATCAAAAGAACAAAATGAGCTCCAGGCTGAAGGTCTGATCAGTTTTCATTTGTGTCAACAATAAGTCATTCTTGCTAAGTGGCCTCAGAATCTGCTCCTACTAAAATGCTTTATCTAATAAATACTGCCTATAACTGAGCAACAACGATAAGTGAAACCTGATAGTGTTCCTATTTTTCGCTCGCCTCCATTGTTCCTCTCTCATTGAAATCCACTTACCTTCGATTCAGGCTGTTTGGGGGTCAGTCAAGCAAAAGTAAGAACTCGGCCCCACTGAATGCCTTTGAACTTTACTGCGCCCCTAATGCCACCCTGACCTCTGACCCCTATTACAGGTAATAAAGTTTACAGCAGCCCAAACCAAGCCATGCACCAGGGGGACCGCTCACTCACCTCCCTCGCTCCCTGAAACAGCCGCAAATAGGGTTGAGGGGGGAGTTTAAAGGAGTGAGGGGGTGTGGGTAAAAACAGGTCTGGAGCCAAAAAGCCAAACAACGGTCACCCAAAAAAAGAAACGGGTGAAGTTCTCTCTGTGTTTTGGTTTGAGCCAGGGAGGAGGGGTTGTGTGTTTTTTTCCTTTTGCCTGGTTGCAACGGGGGGAGGAAGGAGTTAAGAGCAAACTTAACTGAGAACACAGCTAGTTTTGTTTACAGGCTAAGATAAGTAAATCCACTCATCGTTAAGTCATTTTCAGCCAAATTTTCATATTTTATAATTAATAAATTGTTTCTCACCCCAAATGGCACATCAAAGTTGATTAATGGTTGCTGTTAATGTTGTAATGTTTTGGCTCTTAATTTTAGTGATCAGTCACGGCATTGAAGGGGAAAGACCCTGGAGGTTTAGGACATTCCAGGATGGGGGTATCAGTCCTGTATTTACCAGCTGAGGGGCCTCCAGGTGCATGGAGTGTGGACGGCTTTCGCCTGCGCGACTTGAATACAGTAACTACAGGAGACTTGCCTGCACGGTTTGACTGGTCGATCATGGGCTGGACTATTCTCCTCCTGGCATTAATGAACCTGAAGAGAAGGAGGAAGAGGATTGGTAGAAAGAGGGAGGAGGAAGGAGAAGGGACAAAGACATGGAAACAGTGAGTACATTTCTCAAAACAAGATCAGGCAAAAATTGCTGACTAAGACCTTGAAAATCTTGGCACACAGCACAAAAACAAACAATGCCAAACCAGCCTCTTACTCTTAGCTAACCATAAGAGTGATTTGGAGAAATTATTCTTCCCTAAGCAACCCTGAGCCGCGATGAATCTCCAATAGAGCCATGGCAAAAGTCACATCTTAACAGCCAAGGCAGTTGTCTCTTAAAATGCAGAAGGCTACAACTTGTACAAACTTGCACAGCCTCAGCTTATAAACAGTAACATCGGCCTGAACACTGGGGTCTTTGTGGGGTGAGGCTTAACTGGGATTTTCTTTCTGCCTGTTTGAAACATGTCGACCCATCTTGGTTTATTGGAGACGTTCCACCTCACGACGAGCTGAGATTGCTGACTGTTTAACACACTTGGCTCCGAGTGTGGCAGAATGAGAAGTGTTGCTGACAGCAACATGTCATGTTGCCACTGGTGCGAGGCATTGTTTTGGGTGATACTCTGTTAAGACAGGTGACCATGTGTTACTCTGTGACAGCGGGAGCTTTTTTTAGTGTGTGTGTGTGTTTTCACAGGAGCAGGAATTGGTACATATAGCCTTGGACAAACGCCTTTACCCTGTGACCTCCAATAAAAGCACTTGGTCAGACCATTTATTGTGAACGCACGCACACACACACAATTTCTCATTTATAAATCTGCTACTCACTTATTTTCAACTCTTAATCTCTCTGTCTCTCTTACGTCCATTCACACATATTCACGCCCTCGCACACACTCACACAGGGAGCGCTCTGGCCTTGCTCAGCCTAACCCCTTCTGAAATGACCCTTTGACATGTAATGACCCCAAGGAGAGAGGCTCTTGGGGCTTCTGACTTGATTTATGTGTTCCTGCTGTTGCCCCACCGGACACTTCTATTTCATCTCTTAAATGGGAGCATTAGCCAAACTTTAAGGAAACAATAGTAGTGCAGCACTTCTGAAACTGGAAAAAGAAACATTTAAGAGGTCTGAGAAAGCAGAGGAGGAACAGAAACAAAGACATCAGCTAGTGTCCCTTTGTTTCTGCATCTGTTTGACCCTTATTAGTGAATTAAACCCCTACTTTATATCACTTTAATATTCCGTCTCTAACTGTTTTATGGGGTCCCTCCTTTTTTTCTGCCAGCTATCTATCCTGTATCACCTTCTAAAGACAGAGCAGCAGGGAAATGTGGAGACAGAGTGGCAGAGACAGATAGCAAGAGAAGAGAAGAATGATTAGCAGCCCGATTGTTTTCCTGCATTGTTTTTATATAAATGCGCCGTTATATTTTTAAAGCCGCTTCAGAAAAATTGTTAATTTTTGACAGGGTTGCCAGTGGAGCTTTTTGTGAGGTGAAAGGATCTGAGAAAAAGAAGAAAACAAAGGGCATCTTGTCGGCCTTTTAGCTCGATGCTTTGGAAATTTAGTTCTCTATTCGTTACAATAAAGTATGTTGAATTGGAATTTGGGGAGAGACAGAAACAGAAAGAGCAAGGGAGGAATGCAAGAATGCACTGACATGGCAGAGCACCATCAAATGAGGGAACGTCTGGAGTTTTATCACCCACACCCACTCCCTCCCTTCCTCCCTTGCTACCCTGTTTTGCTGGGGGAGATATGGGAGGAGGAGCGAGGGAGAGAGGGCAAGGAAGGTTGAGGAGGCCTGAGCATTCCTTTAAGTCTCCTCTCCTCTTCTTCTCCTCTCCTCTCCTCTTCAGGCCCTTTATAGAAGGAGGAGGTCAACTTGAGGCCAGCATGGGATAACTGTTGACCTCTCCTTCTCCTCACCTCTTTCCTCTTGTCTTTCATTGCGGTCTCCTCGCCTCTGTTCTTCCTCTTTCTCACTTTCCTTTCCTTCCTCATTATTTCTCTCCTGCAAAATGTGGTTCCTTCTACCTTCCTCAAAAATACAGTGATGCAACAAAGAAGGTTATTTTGGCAATAGGTGTGCATTTATTTCAGGTATTTGTTCCTGGACAATGGGGCTCAGGGAGGAATGTATTAGACTTGATGTGACCTCCCATAAACACCAGTATTTATTTATGCTAAGGATTAAATCAGTGAAGTAATAATCCTACTACTCACTGCTATTGCTGCTACTAGACCTACAAGTGCTGCTACTGTTAATACAACAACTACAGTGACTCTCATACCTCCCTCTCTATATCTGTTTCCTTCTTCTGCTCATTCCCTCCTTATCATTCCTTCTCTGTATGGTGGAAACTGGCGGTCCACCTCCCAGCAACAAACCGACAGTAACCCACCAAACCCCTCCTCCTCGCAAAAACTCTCCCCGGTTTCCTGTCCCTGTCGTCCCCATATCTGAGGCCAGATGCACCATGGGGGCTGGAACAAAGGATAAAATGCCTCTCATAATAGCAGCCAGGGGAACGGAGCGAGGGAGAGTGGGAGAATGGGAGGGAAGGAGGAGTGAGAGAGTGGGGGGGAAAGGCAAGGGGCTCTGGTCTGCAAACCAGACACTCTTGCTGTGACCGTTAATAAGCTGACAGAGAGAAAGACTGTGAGAGAGGGAGAGGTAGGATTGAGGGAGAGAAAACGGAGTGAATCAAGAGAGAGGAAATAAGAAAGGGAAAGACTCAGCAAGAGACAATGAGTGATGGAGAGACAGAGTAAAGAGAGAAAGGGAGAGAAGAGAAAAGCTGAACTCCTCTATTGGGGGGATTGAGGCTTCACCTTTGCATGACCCCCGGGTGCTATAGGGCCAGTGTTTATGGCCTGTTCATTCCCCTGCCTCCCATCACAACACAATGAGCTGCACTATTCAGCTCCACACAGTGCAACAATAGCTCGGCTATTTTGGCGTGACACACCACTGGTGGTACGCATAAAGTTGGACAAAAAAAACACCAAAAGAAAAGCATAAGGAAGGAAAATGTCTTGAAATAAAACATAGTCTTGTGTAGTTCAGGGAATCCACCATGGTGCAAACACTGCCAGAGGTATGATTGATTCCCAGCATGGGCACACATGCTTGACATACGCATGCACCCAAGGAACAGTGGATCAAAAAACATGTTGGCCATATGTTATGCCACAACTGAAGACTTAAAAGTCATACAAGGAAAGTAGGTGAATTTTATTCTTTGTTGTTCTGCCTCCAATCTATTTCTCCTTCTGAGATTGCTAATGTCTGGATTAATCCTCCCACCCCTCTCCCTCCTTCTCTGGGAAGAGTGGAACTGATTGCGACGGCGTCTGCCAAGCCCTTGCTAATGTCCTATTCTCATTACACCCGAGACACACACACACATACACAGACACACTGAGCCGAGGCAGCCGCACACAGGTGTACACGAAGCACACGTGAAATGCCCAATTAAAAGCAAGAAATTGTCTTTTTCATCAGCTGCCTTTGTTGCGTGACCAATTAGGGGATAATTTAATAACGAGCAGTGGAAAGATGCAGATTGGATATACAAAAGGTTACTCTGCGAGCTCGTTGATTTAAATTCATGTGGAGTTCTCAATTTCTGTGGCACACATACTCACACACACGCACATCTCCTGAGCCTAGTACCAGTATTATATTAGTAATATGAGACACACTGAAACACACAAATGTCCACATACACACGTCCTCTGCACTCACTACCAATATTATATTAGTAATCTGAGAGAACGTGCACACACATGCACAGGCCTGCACACACCTCACATTTATCCACAGCTGGATATTTCAGCATCACACACCCGCATCAGGACCCGCCGGTGGATTTCTGTGCAAGCCGACAGGGGTTTACATGCATATTCAAATCTGAGAGCCGCTTAAAATAACTGTGTAACCACACACTCCTCCTGGCTGCCAATCAATGTGATTTAAAAGCACTAAAAGAAAGCGAGCTTTGATGGTAGAATCATGTAGCTTATCATCAGGTTGTCACTGCGTGGCTAGCATTGATTGTCTGCTGCTCAACCACAATTAACGCCTAACCCATATATCCTTCCTACTCACTGGTGAGCACGCACGCGCGCGCACACACACACACGCAAACTGAAACCTGTTCTGCTAATCAATTATTTTATCTCAATTGAACGTTTTAACCAATCCTGTTTCTATAAAACTACCAAATTCGTCCTACGTAACATAGTTATAGTTGGTTTTGCACTTGTGCACCAACATAAATACCGGTCATGAATCACAAGATAAGCCTTCATACAGCATGTTGGACACTATACACCTCTTTCCAAGTCTTATGTCACACCTTGTATCCCTGCAGAACTTTATTATCCCATGTCCCAGCACATCCTCTTAAGTAAGTAGTTATTTTATTATAGAGGTCACATAATCTCTAATGCGCAGCAGGGGGTTGGCAGTGCATTTATTCACATGAACCTAAATGTGTATATGTAACCTATGTCTGTATATGTATGGGAGTGTACTGCATGTGGGTGTGTTAGGGAATTACAGTTATGAGTTTCTCCTCTTGTTCTCCACAGTTGACAGGTTAACTCATAAATCACCTCATTTTCTTTTCCCCACATATGTCCCTCGCTCTCTTTCTCTCCTCCTCAGTGTCATTCCCAGCTCAGATGCTTGGATGAGATGCTTCAGATTAGTTTGAGTAAACTAATGCAGCTCCTGGCAGTACTCTATTTGCAGTAGGCATACACACAAATCCATAAACGCTTAAGAGAGGGGGACATGGGGAATGGATTGTGTAAGAAAGGCTGCAGCTCTCTATAAAGTAAGCCATACATAATATTGTGGAAAGAGACTTTATTGTCCTTAATTTGTCTATGCAGCTTTCAACACGTACAAACACCTTCATGCATACGCAGAGTTAAAAAATTAACTCAAGGCACCCATTCTGCTACATGTGCTCACTAGTCAAGGAGTAACATCCTTCTCGCCATTTCCCCCAAAGC